AAGTTAGAGAGTTTTCCACATTTTCAATTATTTGTAGAATTATTTCATGCTTTTCTTCATTCATTTTATTTTGACCTCTCAAATGAACTGGCAACCAAGGCCTAGTGTCGAATGATTCTTCAGCCATCTCGCAGGCTGCCTTCCAAAGGCTTAAAGCCGGCTTAATTTTCCGAGGCCGAAAATCTTCATCTAATTTCCCTTTCGGGTAAATTTTATTTGAATTATTTTCAATGATTCGAATAATATGTGCTGGTCGTTGAGCCTTCAAAATTTGATCCACTAATTCCATCCCAGCTTCTACTGAGATGGTTTTTTCATTTTTGTTTTTCCACCAATCTTTTCGAATTTTGGTCAAAGCCCAGAAGCACAAAATTACTTGTATGAGAGATTCAACTGTTTTACTAAGTAGAGCCGAATAATCTTCTTTTATTTCTTCTTTTCTTGCAAGATCGATTATGTTGCCTAATTTTATTGAAGAACAATTTTTGTGTCGTTGTGTACCTGGTGAACAACCGTACATAACCGACCAACCATAATGCAAAAGTGCATATCCCTCGTTTTCTTCTTTAATATTATTATCCTTAACCGACTGTTGGTCAGTTTTTTCTTTAATTTTATTTTCCGATGGAGGTTTTGGTAGTAACTTTTCCAGTCGGGATGTGCAAACAACTGCCTGATTAGGAATTACTTCTTTAATTACTTCTTTTTGTGGTAATTTCTCTTTTTGCACTTTTGACACAAAGGATTTTAATCGATCATTCAGATTACGTTCATCGTGTTTAACGACTTTATTTGGTGGTTCTTCAACTACATCATTTTTATTAATTAAATTTTCGTGTTGTTCATCATAGTCCAAAGAAGCTTCTGATTTTCCTTCTTCCATTGGCCTGCAAATTATAATATTACAAAGACATGTATTAATTTTATTATTAATTTTTAAATTTTTATTTTTAGATTTATTTTCAACAATTTGTTCGTTTCTTTCAGGTGTTATTTTTTCTTGCCCATTTATTTCAAAACAGAACAAATCATTGACGGCTCTTCGAGTTTCCCCGTTTTTTGTCTTTAAAACTGCAGTTCTTCCTCCTGGAAGTAATTTTTCGATTATGCCCAACTTCCATATTCCTCGATTTTTTATATCATCATCTCTGATGATAACAACATCTCCCAGTTGAGGAGAATTTTCTGCGGTTTTATCATTTTTGACAAAATTTTTCCTTTCGCGAAGCGCTAGTAAATATTCATTAGACCATATTTTCCAAAACAGGTCTAATCTGTTAGATACCAGTTTTAATTCTTCTACTAATTTATCTTTATTTTTTATTTTTTCAGGTAAATAATCGGGGTCCTCAACATCTACTTTTGGTAAATGTGGGAAATCTGCGTTACCTTCTTCGTAAGGGATAAGAAAGTCTAATGGCCTTAATGCCCTTACATGTTCTGAATCGGGTAGAAAGTTTAGTGGCCTTGAGTTAACAATTGTTTGTATCTCATTAATTAAAGTACGAAATTCATCTTCGAACAACAATTTTTTACCAATTGTTCTTTTTAATGAATACTTTATTAATCCGACCATCCTTTCTACTAGCCCATTCTTCCAAGGTGCTCTTTCAGTAACAAAAATCCAATTAATTTCATGATCAGACGCATACTTTTGTATTTGATTTTCTTTCCAAATACTTGTAAGAACCTTTTCAGCGGCCTTAAAGTTAGTTCCATTATCAGATATCATCAATTTAGGCTTTTTGTGTTGAGCTATAAAGCGTCTAAATGTATGTAGGAAGGCTTGCGCCGAAAGATCCTCCGCTACTTCAAGATGAACGGCGCGGGTACTTGTGCAAGTATAGACCGCGACCCATCTTTTCTGATGGTCCCCATTAGTTGTTTTTATAGTCACATGTCCAAAGTAGTCAACAGCGGAATGCATGAAGGGACGAAATGGATTTACGCGTTCGATTGGTAAAGTTGGGAATTGAGGTTGCGCGTACGGTTTAATCCAATATCTTTTACAGATTTGGCATTTTTTCACACACCTTTCAACTTTTTTCCGGGTTATCCAATATTTTTGTCTCATTGTGGCAAGAACAACATTGGTTCCTGAATGAGCCATTTTTTCATGTGCTTCTATGATAATTAAATCGGTTAGAGCTGAATTTTTTGGTAACCAAATGGGATATTTTGTCTCTTCATTTTGGTTACTTAATTCTATTCTTCCTTTACACCTATAAATATTTTCATTGTCTTTAAACAATTGAAGATTTTGAATTGTATCCTCTGATGGAGGATTCATTTTTTGACTTTCTCTTATCAGAAATTGTTCCGCTAATTCCATCTCAGAAGGTTTAGGATAACAAGCTTTTGTTTCCATTACTTCTTTTATTTTTAATAATTTTTCATTTTTAGGGGTATGCTTTTTTATAACCTTTATTTTAATGGCTCTAAAGATGTAAACAATAGTCTTTTTTAATTTTTTAAGACTAGAGAATCGATCAGGTTCAACCAAATAAGCGTCTTCCTTTATTGGTAGACACATTTCATGAAATGGTTGAGGGTTTAATTTTTCTACCCTTTCACCCGGCACATATTCGAGTTCTGTTTTGGGCCAATTTTCTTCTTCTTCATGAAGAAATTCAGGTCCTTTGAACCATAAGACATTATTGGCTAATTCGCTCGGAGGAATTCCCCTACTCGTCATATCCGCCGGATTTTCCTCGGTTCGGATGTATTTGACCGTATTTTTTCGAATAGGCCTTAAACGTCTTTCTATGAATGGTTCTTGCTCCGATGTGCTTTTTAGCCAATGAATGACTATTTGCGAGTCAGTCCATAGCGTCTTTTTATTAATTTTTATATCGAGCATATTTTCTGTGTACTCCAACGCTTTTGTGGCTAGTAAAGCGGCGTGAAGTTCCATCCGTGGAATCGTTAATTTTGCTTCGCATTTGCCAATTTGCGCTTTAGGCTTTACTCGGCTTTTAGCGAAAATCAGAGTCGATTCGATATCCGCACCTTTTTGAGAGCGGAGATAGATCGTGAATCCTAATGCTTTGTCTGAAGCATCGGAAAATGCGCATAATTGGAAATTTGTCTGTTTTGTCAATTTCCATGAAAGCACTCTTCTAGGAATTTTTATAATGCTACAATTTAAATATTCGGTGGCGATTTCTTCCCATTCCGTTTTTAAATCCTCAGGTAAATCATTGTCCCAAGGAAGGTTTGCTTCCCATAATTTTTGCATCAACCATTTTCCTTTTAGGAGAGCGGGTGAAATGAGGCCGCAAGGGTCAAAACATTCAGCGATAGTTGCTAGTACTTTTCTTTTTGTCCATTGCTTTTCCTCAGTCATTTTTGGTACAGGGAGTTTTAAAGATAGTGCATCATAGAATGTATCCCAAATTATTCCTAGTATTTTTTGTTTAGCGCTTGAATGTAAGTTCGTTGTTCTCGCTTCTATAGGAAGCTTATCAACAGGTATAGCATTCAATTGTTTGATCGCATTGGTAAATATTTCACGAAAGTTCCATCCGGCTTCCTGAAATATTTTTCGCGCTTCCAAGATATCCTTTTCAACTTCAGATTTTTCTTCTGCTCCGATTAGAAAGTTATCGACGTAACCTGCCTTTTTTAATTTATCGGCAGTTGAGCTATCATATTTTGCTAAATGATAGTCTACCGTCATTCCTAAAATGGAGGGAGAACAATTAACGCCAAAGGTTACTCGGGCATATCTGAATATTTTCAAATCCTCATCATTTTGGGACGAGGCTGGTTTTTTAACGTCCTTAACCCACAAAAATCTAACGCAATTTCGGTCTTCGTGTCGCAAGCTTATTTGTAAAAAAGCTGCTTGCAAGTCTCCTGCTATTAGATACGTGGGCAGACGACATCGCATAAGTAATCCGCACAAATCTTGTATTGTTACGGGGCCTTGGTGTAGACAATCGTTAAGAGAGGGATTATCCTTCCGGCTTTTTCCGCTTGCATTAAATACGATCCGGAATTTTGTAAAAGTTTTATCTTCTCTTACAACCGGAAAGTGCGTCAAATAGTGGATTTGTCCACCATCATCTTGGTTTCTTGGTATTTCTTCGATGATTCCTTTTTCCACTTGGTCCGCGAATGTCTGTTCATAGAGCGCCAAATGATGTGGATTTTTCTTTTGTTTATCTTCTATTTGATTTAAAAGCATCGATTTAGCCATTCGGTAATTGCTAGGCAGTTTTGGACAGGGATCTTTCCATAACCAGCCAGCTTCATACCGTCCATTTTTAAAGGTTAATTTCGATTCAAATTCATTCCTTATTTTTTCATCTAATTTTTGATTAGATATATCATTTATTCCTATACTGTCTAAGGAATATAATTTTTCTAATTTATTCTCTAAAGTGTCATTGCCAAACTCATCCTCTTCGGTAATAACAACATTTGACCTATCAATTGAAGGAAAATTTTTATTGTTAGAAATTTGTCCTTTTCCTCCAATTATGGGACCAATTGCGCTATCAGCGAGCCAAAGTCCACAATTTAATTTTTTCTTGCGAACTAAGTTTAGATCAAAGAAGTATTCCACCCCTAATAAAACATCAGGCTCAACTAAAGAATGAGGTATTTTATTAGATTTTAGATCTATATCATTTTCATCTTCAGGTGTTAAAACTGCAGGCATTTGGGAAATCAAACTGTTCAAATTGTCTAACTGGCCAACTTCAACAATCATTTGCCCTTTGGAATGTTTTTCTATTCCTAATCTGAATATTTCCGCATTAAATTCAATCACGGGGGAACGATTAGCTGGAAAGGGTTGGATTCTTTGAACTTCTTTTTGAGAAGTTTGCAATCCTAACTTTTGAGCAATTCCCTTCCTTATGTAAGATTTCTGTGACCCACAGTCGATAAAAACGATTCCTTTAAAATTTTTGTCTGGATTAGATGGATTGAATAGAACAGCTTCTCGGCAAAGTAGTATTCTTTTTTGTCGAGGCTTTCGTAAAATAGCAGAATTTTGTAAAACTTCTCCTTCTATTTTAATATTATTTTCTTTATTTTTGTAAGTTTCTTCACATAAAGCTGTGTTGTGTTTTTCTCTGCAGTGAAAACATTTAATTGGTTTTTTACAATTTCCTTCATGTTCGGGTTTTATGCAAAATAAACATCTCTTTAGTTCGATTAATTTCTTGCGTCGATCTTTAGCGGAGTTAATTTTTCGACATTCATCTCCCCAGTGGTTTTTCTTTCCGCAAAATATACAAGGGTATATTGGTGAACGTCTCCCCCCTTCAATTTTGTTTTTATGTTTTTCCTTCTTATTTTTTACTTCAACATTAGCAAGAGTTCTATTTAATTCTTTTTCTTTATTTTTGTTTAAATTTTTTGGTTCACTTCTATTTCCACTTTTTTCAGGTATTTTTCCATGAATTGAAAGGACTATTTCTTCCTTTTCAATCACTTCCCTGAGTGCTTTTCGAAATGCTTCAGTGTTCCAATTTATATTCATTGTTTTTGCTAATGCCTTCTTTGTTTGCATTTCTCTTAAAATTGGGATTGTGAGCTTTTTTTCTAAGCTCATCCAAACTCCTTGACCATTTATATTTTGATCATTGTTTTCTAAGAGTCTGCATATCCTTTCAAGTTCTATTGCAAACTTTCTACAATCTTGAAAATTTTGGCACACAGCTAAATTTTCAAGTTGTGAATGTAGATTTCTCGTATAGTCTTCTTCATTGCCATACTTCTGTTTAAGTAATTCGATAGCTATATCGTAATCAGTTAATTTTAAGCCAGCTATTAACTGTTTTGCTTCTCCAATAACACACTGTTTGAGTACAGCATGTTTAACTTCATCGTTTCCTTCAGCTTCATGAACTGTAGCATTATAGATTTGCCACCATTCCGGCCAATCTATATGCTTTCCAGAGAATTTCGAGAGTTCTTGTCTCGGTGGTTTAAAGCTAAAACCAAACGACTTTTGGCCGTTGGTATTATTCATCGTCAGATTCTTCTCTTTCCTTTCTTCTCTTCTTTTAATTAATTTTAATTTCCTTTCTGATTCTTTTAATTTTCTAAGCCTTTTTCCAGCTTCATTTAATGTATCATCAATTTTATATAGATTAGTCGCTTCATCATAAGCAGCTTCATTTAGTGGTTTTTCAATTTGAGTACTTCTTTGTATTAGAGATGACCATTTATTATTTGCCTCTTTTAAATCATTATAGGCGTCCGTCATCTCTTCTATGTCATTATTTAACAAATCCAGTGTTTCACAAACTTCTAATAGGTAGTCTGGATTTTCTTCTTCCTCCGGTTCTTTTGGAACCGGCTGGTCCAAAATTATCTGTATACTTTCAGCCGCTCTTTTTGTAGCGGATTTTAATGGCTTACTCATTTTTATTTTTATTAAATTTTTCTTTTTAATAAATTTTTATTTCAAAATTTCTTTTTAATAAATTTTTCTTTTAAAATTTATTAACTTACAAATTTTTTTTTCCCAACAATTCTAAACAATTTTTCCAATAATTTGACCAAAAATTCCAATATTTGAATTAAAGTAGCACAAAAACTTTTTTTTTTTTGTTGTTTCCACAATAATTTCAAATTGTTGTTTCCACAATTAGAATTAATTAATTTCTTTTTAATTAATTCGATTAATTTCTTCTAAAATTAATTAATTTCTTTTTAATTAATTTTGATGAATTTTGTTGTTCGGTTGTCGTTTTAGGCTTGAGCCCCCATGTCAAAAGAAATAGGATTCTTGGTTTCTTTTGCTTTAAAATTTCTTCCTTTGAAATTTTAGTATAATTTCTTTTAATTAAAATTCCTCTTTTTGGAATTCTAATGTAAATTCGATTTAATTAAATTTTTAATTTTTATCCAACAAAATAAATTAATTTAAAGCTAAAACAATTTTAAAAAAATATTGGACGATTAAAAGTAAGAGAGAAGACTTTGATTTTTATTGTAAAAATATAAGAATGAACACCAAAAAGCTGTTTAGTGATTTATTTTATAACAGCAAAAAGGAGATGGAGTTTTTAGTGTAATAGCCATTTTTTATTATAAAATGGAAAGATGAAGAATAAATGGAAGAGGAACAATTTATGAGTAATTGAAACGATAAAAGGGAGCATTAGAAAAATGAATAATAAAATTAAAGATAAATGTTTAAATGTAAGGGGTTTTATGGGAAAATAAAATTTTTATAGATTTTTATCTTTAATTTACACTTTAATCTTCTTCGGTCTTTCGACGTTTTTTCTTCGACATGGCAATAGTCGAAACAGACCAATACCACCCGTCAGGAAAAGATAATATCGACAACGCCAAAATCGACAAAACAATATTCGAACTAGATCCGTCAACCAATCCAGGATGGTTTTGCTTAATCCTTATTCTTCGAGTTGTAATTGGGATTATCCAATGCCTACGACCACGTCAACTACATGTATTCAAAACGTCTAAAGCTTATATCAAACAACCTATGCACGATTCTTATAGCAAACAAGACGACAAAACAGTATGTATCTGGAGTATACGACATGATCAATATTCCTTGTTGGAAAACTGTGCAACATACCCAACCAACAACGTTGATACATCACACCATGCACTAATCAGCAGCGATGGACTTTTATATTTAAAACCCCGCGCTAATTTCTGTAATGGACCTGAAACAATCATGAAATGTCATCACTCAGGCAGATATGGCATATGGATGATCGGCAAAACGTCAACTGGATTTGTATACATTTTCTTGCAACTACCACCAACATTTCGAATTTATCGACAAGTGGAATCAAAACAGCAACCGACAAAACCAACCCAATCTCGTCTACGTCTATATCACCAGAATATACGTTTGGATGTAATTTATTTGGAATCGCGGATGCGTCGACTAATACGCCTGAACCCTTTCGACCATTTCGACAACAAAACGACTGCGCCTATTTTTACCATTCAATTCAACGACTTCCATTCAATTTACTTTCTGCGTGGCCGGCCGGATGTTCCTTCCAGAAAAAGGAAAGATTTGCGTCAAATGGACAGATTTTCGACAAATAGATATCTACATTTGATCCACCACCCACAGATGAAACCAATGAGGTCAATGGAATTGGAATGGAGGAAACCGTAAAGAAATTTTTTGTAAATTTTATCTTTCTATTTATCCTTTTCCCTCATTCATATATTTGTATCTGCCCCTCTCAAATTCTTAATCATTTTTTTGTAATTTTTTCAAACGTTTGGAATGGATGAACATCAACTCAAATTTCATCAATAATGGGTCCTCATCAAATGTCACAGCATTTCGTCTAAACGTCTAACCTTAACGTCTAAACATTAACGCCTAAACTTTAACGTCTAAACCTTAACGCCCAAACCTTAACCGTCTAAACCTTAACGTCAAAACTCAACAAAAGAAAATCACAACAAAATCGTCAAGTTTAAATTTAAAAAGTAATCATCAAAAGCATCTTCAAATTAATGTTATTGGCGAAGCCAAACAAACTAAATTAAATAAGAACGTGGTGAAACATCATAATCTTAAATTTCAACCTCATCAAATAAAAAGCAAACCTTCAAACCAAATCTTTACAACAAAACTTATAAAACGCAAAATCGACAAATGGAATATCGACTAAAACTTTAAATCGACTAATCAACATAATCTTAACAACTAAGGACCCACTGATGTGCCTGCCCGCGGCAATGTCGAAAATTTCTGACGAAACTTTCGTCGAAGGATAAAATTATTAAATTAATAAATTTCATTTTTGTATGACATCATTTTTGATCGTTATCGCCTATTTTTGCTCTTTTTCCGTTTTTCCATAAATGGATGAAATTATCCATTTTTATCTAAAATTCCAATCTTTTTAATAATTTCATCCATTTTCACTTCCGCCCAACCTTTTAACCGCAAACATATAATTTTTTAATGTCTTTTATTTTTTCCATTGCCCACATTCCATACCACACACATAGATTGTGGCCTATTTAAACCTAATCATTTTTCCCACTCTTTATGTTTTTACATACCCATAATGTTTCGACATACACAGTTCTGACTTACACATAAATGTTTGGACATATTCATTTTCATACCCCATAATGTTTTGACATAATCAGTTTTGACTTAACCATTCAACCAACCAAATCCCTTTTCCAAACACATACACACAAATAATTGTAAAATTGTATTGAATTAAATAAATATTATTAAAATATTCTTATTCTTTTGTTTGGTATTTTTTGAGAATATTCGCCTAACTTTCGTCTACGTCTAAACTTGGCCGTCTAAAACCCTTTGCCTCCTCGTTTGGTTTGCCCTGTCTTAATCTTTGGGATTAAGACATTCACCTCATCAACACCCTTAACCCCAACTTCTTATTTTAGCGGTCAAGCTTCTTTGATCCCTCGTCAGTGGATTCCCGACCTGAGAAGTTTTGCCGTTACTCCGATTGGCAGCGTTCTCAGTTGTAGCTCCTTGAGAGTAATCAGAAGCAGAATGATTGCAGCAGTCTTCGTATCGATAGTCCACGTCGGAGTCTGTTCAGTGCGTTCCAAAAAGGGTTATCTGCTTCCGAGTGAAGTAAGACGAGCGAGCTAGCACGTGGGAACCTCGCTCTCGAGTTCAAAATGAGGTTTTTAACTCACTCTTTCTTCATTGCCTCATATCAATCGTCGTTCCGGGGTTTTAAGCAAATTTATAAAAAATTATCTTAATGAAAAAATAGAATTAAAAAAATATTTATAAAGACCTAAATAACTTAAAATAAACTAAACTAAGATAAATAAAAATAAATGAAGCAAATTTATAAAAAATTATCTTAATGAAAAAATAGAATTAAAAAAATATTTATAAAGACCTAAATAACTTAAAATAAACTAAACTAAGATAAATAAAAATAAATGAAGCAAATTTATAGAAAATTATCTTAATGAAAAAATAGAATTAAAAAAATATTTATAAAGACCTAAATAACTTAAAATAAACTAAACTAAGATAAATAAAAATAAATGAAGCAAATTTATAAAAAATTATCTTAATGAAAAAATAGAATTAAAAAAATATTTATAAAGACCTAAATAACTTAAAATAAACTAAACTAAGATAAATAAAAATAAATGAAGCAAATTTATAAAAAATTATCTTAATGAAAAAATAGAATTAAAAAAATATTTATAAAGACCTAAATAACTTAAAATAAACTAAACTAAGATAAATAAAAATAAATGAAGCAAATTTATAAAAAATTATCTTAATGAAAAAATAGAATTAAAAAAATATTTATAAAGACCTAAATAACTTAAAATAAACTAAACTAAGATAAATAAAAATAAATGAAGCAAATTTATAGAAAATTATCTTAATGAAAAAATAGAATTAAAAAAATATTTATAAAGACCTAAATAACTTAAAATAAACTAAACTAAGATAAATAAAAATAAATGAAGCAAATTTATAAAAAATTATCTTAATGAAAAAATAGAATTAAAAAAATATTTATAAAGACCTAAATAACTTAAAATAAACTAAACTAAGATAAATAAAAATAAATGAAGCAAATTTATAAAAAATTATCTTAATGAAAAAATAGAATTAAAAAAATATTTATAAAGACCTAAATAACTTAAAATAAACTAAACTAAGATAAATAAAAATAAATGAAGCAAATTTATAAAAAATTATCTTAATGAAAAAATAGAATTAAAAAAATATTTATAAAGACCTAAATAACTTAAAATAAACTAAACTAAGATAAATAAAAATAAATGAAGCAAATTTATAAAAAATTATCTTAATGAAAAAATAGAATTAAAAAAATATTTATAAAGACCTAAATAACTTAAAATAAACTAAACTAAGATAAATAAAAATAAATTAAGCAAATTTATAAAAAATTATCTTAATGAAAAAATAGAATTAAAAAAATATTTATAAAGACCTAAATAACTTAAAATAAACTAAACTAAGATAAATAAAAATAAATGAAGCAAATTTATAAAAAATTATCTTAATGAAAAAATAGAATTAAAAAAATATTTATAACAACTGGCGCGAATTTTCTAAACAATACTTTTTTTCTTTAACGTGACTCGCATCAGAACGTATTGTTTTTTGATGATTTTAGGATTTTAGTCCTTAAGCGACAAACAAAATTTTTTGAGAGAAGTTTTCTAAACAAATTTTTTTATATTTGTTTATTAGAAAGGTGGACCTCACTTATATGTAGGTGTAAATCCTTTGGTGGTAAACTACCTAGTGACCAACTGAATTTTAAATCACAAATGAGGCTTAAATGACTTTAATTTTACAAGACATTCCCATAAAAGGATTTTCTATTTATTCTAATAAAAATGAATGGTTTGCTGATTAGGTATATTTTATTATTAAAATGATTAGCTGGGAAAAAATAAATGTAAGAAGAAATCAAAAAATTTTGGAAGAAAAAAACTTAAACTGAATTTTGAATCACAAATTAATGGATATTTAAGAAATATTTCAAAGTAGATTATTTATTGTTATTAATTTGTTGATTACGAGATCGTTTCATTATAAAAATGTTTATTGACATTTCCTCTCCTCTTCATTCACTAAAAATTTTATTCATTTTAAATTTTGTTTTTTAAAATTTTAAACCTTTCACTTTCCGTGTAAATATCAGTTTCAGCATCTAATAAATCAAATTCTCCATACTAAAAAATAATTTTTAATTTTATAGAAAGGACTTTTTTGGGTATAAAAAGAATTTTTTGGAATCGATAATTTCAACATAATTTTTTGTAAATAAAGGATTTAACCCCCTCTCCATAAATTAATTATTTTAACAAATTTATTTTACATTAAATTGTTTCAACAAATCATTTAATTTATTAAAAAATTCAAGAGTAAATTGTTGCTTTCCTTCAATAATTAATGTTTTATTTAATTGTTTTGATTCAAGAGAAATTAATTTATTTTCAAAAGAATCAATTAATTCCTTCAAATTTATTTTTTTTTAATTTAAATTTATTTTAAACCTTATTAAAATTATTTTCCTCCTCTTCTTCTTTTTCATCATTAATATAAATTATTAAAAAATGTGTACGTCGGAGATAGCTTCTTTAAAAATTAAATTTAAAAAAATAAAATTAAGAATAACTATTTTTATTTCCTCTCCCCCAATTCTCCTTTTATGACTTTTTTACAATTTTCGGAGTTAGGTATATTCCAATTTTTTTTTATTTTATAAAAATATTGAATAAATTAATTTATTTAGAAATGGAAGGAAATTGGGGATAAAAACAAAAATTCGACAAAATGGAGTCCTAAATTTTTTTAAATATTATAGAATGGATTAAACATTTTTGAACGGGATTTTATTTTGATTCTCTCTTATATAATTAAAGCAAAAACCTTTCCCTTTTTTCATATTTTAATTCATCCAACCAATCCACAAATTCAGAAAATCGAGTAATAATTGAAGAAGAATTTTGATTAAAAACATTTTTGTTTAAAATATAAATATGTAAAGATTTGGAATTTTTGACTTTTTCTAATTCTAAAGCACTCAATTTGGCAACAAAAGGATCAAAATGTAAATTTTCTGTTAATTTATAGGCTATCTAAAATTAAACATAAATTAAAAAGAAAAATGTTTAGAAAACAAGGAATCCTCCATTGTTTAAGTTTTCCACTCATTCATTGCCCCTGATAAATTCCTTAAAAGATCCTTAAAAGGGAGGATAACCAATTTAATTTTCCGTTAAAAATGCCAATTAATTCTTTGATTTAAATTTGGTTAATTTCTAAAGAAATTTAATTACTTCTTTAGTTTCTGGACAATCTCCACAATAAAATATTGTTGTACTTCTATTAAATTCATTTTTACTTTTTTTCTTATTTTTTCGAGCATTCTAAATTAAATAAAAATTATTTTTTATTTAAATACTCTTCCCCTCCTCAACTTTATATCGATTATGTACATAACGATAGAAAAAATACATAATTCCAGGCATTATAATACCTTTAAAAAAAATATTTTTTATTTTTAATTCTTCAAAAATAACCAAAAGCAGCAGTCAAATAAAGAAGAAAATCATCTTTTAATTTAATTTTTTAATTAAAAATTATTTAAAGAAAACCTTTTTCTGCATATCTAACAACTTTTTGTAAAGTAGATAATGTTTGTTGGTGTTGGGCATTTGCTTCTCTTTTAAAACCTTGATTTGGTTGGTGGGGGATCATTTAAAAGTATTTTTTCTAATACAAAATATTTTTTAAAATAAGTTTCTATTTACCAAAAAAAGGGGGGGGGGAGAGGGGACATAAAAGCCCAAAACCATAACTTGCTGAAAAATTTTCTGGCCCTTATAAATTTAGGTACCAATTTCTTTATTTTGATTAGGGAATCGTTTAATTGGGAAGATTCGGAAAATTTGAAGCAAGTTATGGATTTGCGGCTTTATGTGTGTGCGTGCTTTGTGTCTGTGTGTGCTTTTTGTGTGCTTTTTCTTTTGCTTTTCCTTTCCTTTTGTGCGTGCCCATAAAAATCCTTTAAAAATGTTAAAAAGGAAGGTTAAAAATAAAATAAAAAATAAATATTTTGAATAAGAAAAAATAACAAAAATTTAATAAATTTGTTTAAAAAAACTTTAAAAAAACTTAATTTTTATTTAATTTCTCAACAAATCATAATCTTTTAATTTAAAATTAATTATCCTTTTTTCACAATCCTTTTTACAAAAAATAATTACCACCTCGAATAATTGTCAATTCGGTAATTTTGAACTTCGTACCCCCCCCCCCTCTTTTTTTGTTTTAAAAGTATTAAAAATGGTCAGTCTTAAGATGAATATAGAACATAACGAGCTGTGTCGAACGACACTAAAATCAAAAAAATCCGGCTTGATTTGACCGAGATACAGACCCCTGAAAATTGAACAACCATAGGGGCAAAAAACCAAAAGGACGAAAAAGTATACAAATGATAGCTCATTCGAAAGAGCTCGTCGAGCTGAGTCGAATGACACCAAAATCGACGTGATTGGATAAGATTGGACAAAGTTACGACATAAAGTTGCAGATTCCGGTATGTCTAAACAATGTCATAACTTTGTCAAAACTCGTCCCACTACGTTGATTTTGGTGTCATTCGACTCAGCTCGACGAGCTCTTTCGAATGAGCTATCATTTGTATACTTTTTCGTCCTTTTGGTTTTTTGCCCCTATGGTTGTTCAATTTTCAGGGGTCTGTATCTCGGTCAAATCAAGTCGGATTTTTTTGATTTTGGTGTCGTTCGACACAGCTCGTTATGTTCTATATTCATCTTAAGACTGACCATTTTTAATACTTTTAAAACAAAAAAAAGAAGGGGGGGTACGAAGTTCAAAATTACCGTCAATTCTTTTATTTTTATTTTAATTAAATTATCTCATTTCTCTATATTTACAGCATTTAATTAATTTTAATCGGTTTTTTTAATTTTGTTTTTCCATTAATTAAATAAAAGTAAATAGGTAAACGTGACTGTGTCTACTAAATATTTTTTTTAAATATTTATTAATTGATTATATTTTTATTTACTTTTTTTATCAGTAAAAAGTATAGAATGATTTTTAATTAAAAAATGTTATTTAAAATTAATAATTATTTATTACAAACAAAATTAAAAAAAAATACAAATTTATTTATTCAACAAATAGCTAAAATGAATACTTATTTAATTAATTCTGATAAATATTTGTTTTTAAAAGAATTGGGAATTTCTGAATTAAATTTTGGTGTTTTTGATGGAAATAAATGGATATCTAATGGAAAAGTTATTGTTTCTAAATAATTTATTTAAAAAATTATATTTATTTACTAAATATTTCCCCTATGCTCTCCCCCATTTTTCTACTTTTTATTGAAACTTTATTAAAATGAATAATTAAAAGACCGATAAGGGGATCTCAGAAAAACAAGTAAAAACTTGAATGAGACTGATAATCTTCTGAGCTAGCAAGGGGTCTATATATTTTACTCAATAGTCAACTTTTATTCTTTATTTTAGCTTAATCAACTATTTTAGGAAGGTTAATTTAACGACCTTACAAATTTTCAATAACATATTTATTGAACTTTTTGTTTGTTGTTAAAAGACTTATTTTCTGAAACTACTTCCCTTAATAAAATCTCAATTTATTTGAGTTTTAAAATTATAACTTTAAAAACCTTAAATTCATTTAAAATTAAAAATAGATTATTGACATTTTATGTCCTTCAACAAACACACCAATTGCTAAAGTACAATTAGCCTCTGAAGAAGTATTAAAAAATAAATAGTTTTTAATTAAAAGAATTTTTACTAAAGGATTATCAACGTACTTTAAAATATTCTCGAGAATCTATCAAAATTTGGCAAAATCTACCAGCCCCCGCCAGAGGGGAAATTGTCAGACAAATTGGGGATTCTTTGAGAAAACAATGTGAAAACCTTGGAAAATTGGTGTTTTTGTAAAAAAATTGTTTTTTGAAATTTCTTTTTATCCAAAGATTTCATTGGAAATGGGAAAAATTTTGTCAGAAGGAAAGGGGGAAATACAGGAAATTATTGATATTGCTGATTTTGCTACAGGATTGTCTAGAATGTTTAGTGGAAGTATTATACCTTCAGAAAGAAAAGAACACGTTTTGTTGGAACAATGGAATCCTCTCGGAATTGTTTTTTTTAAACTTTAAAAATTAAAATTAAATATTTTTTAAAGGTTGGGGTAATTACTGCTTTTAATTTCCCTGCAGCTGTTTATGGTAATTTATATTTAATTGTTGGGGGGACTATTCACCGAAAAGACAATTTTCAACTGATGAGGGGGTTGATGGTTCTTTTCTTAAAAAATAATTTTTTTCTCCTTGTTTTCTAAAACTGATCTTGGATTTAGATTTAAGTATAAGATACACACCCAATACTCCCCTCAATTTCTGACAGTAAATTTCCCTAAACAAAAGGTTGGAATGCTGCTTTAGCTTTGACTTGTGGCAATTGTTTAATTTGGAAACCAGCCCCAACAACTTCTTTAACCGCAATTGCTGTTACTCGTTTAATTGAAAGTGTGTTAAAAGACAACAATCTTCCCCCATCCATTTGTTCTTTAATTTGTGGAGGAAGTGATGTTGGATTGTATGTTTATTTAGTTAGTTAATGTCTGGAAGGTTTATTGCCCCCCTTTCTCGTAGTTTTCTAACGATGACAACAAAAGGGAAGTTGCTACAAAAAAATATTCCAAAAAAGAAGCAAGCTTTTTTTTACCTCTCAAACATTACAAGATAATGACAGTTAACAAACAAACAAAAATATATATTTAGAAGGGGGATACAATAGCGAAACAACAATATATTTATTTAGAATATCTATTTATTTATCATCTCCTACATATTCCTATCTTCATCTTTCTGCCTTCTTTTGTTTATGGCTTTTTCGACGATGGGCCAGCACAGTACGCAGACACATTGCAGATACTTCCAATCAAGAGAAAGCTTTAAAAAAAAAATTCTTTTGTTTAAATATTTAAAAACTCCTCACGTTCCCAACACCGCTCCAAACCCAACAAATCCAGAGATGGCATAGTGCTTCGTTTGGAACTCGCAGTCATCGGCAGAGACAAGTTGAAGAAGAAGAACAGCAATAGTGAACACAACAATTAGGGAGGACACAAACTTTCCTTGAACCATTGTAGCAGTTTCCCTTTTGTTGTTGTTGATTGAACAGATGAATAATAGAGCGGCAATTGTGTATATTCTTGAGGATTTAGAGAGAATTTAATGTGCTCTTTTATAGTAAATATTAGTGACCGGATCCGGCCGGATTTTTCCGGAGTCCGGGTCCCAAATCCGGGTTTTCCGGCTGGATCCAGTCCGGCATGAACGTGAAATCCAAAATCCGGTTTCCGGGCCCGGAAAAACGATTTTGCCGGTCACTAGTAAATATTTACAAAAATTGTTTAGTAGAAGGAAAAGAGAATGTTTTAAAAAATATTTTTGTAGATTGTTAACAAAGGATCCAAAAGTGGATTTAGTTTCGTTTACGGGCTCTACAGAAGTTGGCCGTATTGTTGGTCAACAAGTACAAGCACGCTTTGGAAAAGTTTTTTTTTTGAAATTAGAAAATTATTCTTTGTGTTTTAAAAAATAGTTACTTCTTGAACTTGGAGGGAATAATGCAGTTATTGTGATGGAAGATGCTAATTTAGATTTGGTTGTGCCTGCAGTTACTTTTTCTTGTGTTGGGACTACAGGCAAATAAATATTTGATTAGTAGATATTTATGGGGAGGAAGGAAGGAAGGAAGGAAATTCTTTTAAAAAGAAATATTAAAAAACCTTAATTTAATTTTGAAATTTGGAGAAATTTGTGGAGTATGAAAAGACAAAAAAAATTTTGTAAATTAAATTAAAAATACATTAATTATTTAAAGGTCAAAGATGTACAACAACTAGACGTTTAATTGTACATAAACAAGTTTATGATGTTCTTATTGAAAGGTTGACAAATGCTTTTAAACAAATTGAGTCGAGAATTGGAGATCCGGTTTAAATTTTTTAAACCGGATCTCGACTCGGTGGGGGTTGAGTGCGCACCCAGGTTTTTTTACCGTATGGGACGTCAGTCTAACCCACCCAATAATGGTCATGCCCGTCTTTTAAAGATTGTTTTACCATCCAGAAAATTTCAGCGTGAACTTCTCAACAAATGGAAAACAAATGGCAAGAAATCTTTCCCCCAAGTCAATATGCGTGCTTCAATGACACCAGAACAATTACAGCGACGAAGGGAACTAATTGAAGAGTGCAAAAAGAAGAGAATGGAGAACCCTCAATTGGACTGGATAGTTTATGGAGAAGCAGTAATTCTAAGATCGGAGGTTCACATTTTTAGAAAAAATAAAAAAATCTGACTTCAAAAAAATAATCTAAATAGATTAAATACTATTAATTTTTTATATTTTAATTCAAGAAGTTTAAAAAACAAATTGTCAAATTTACACTTTCTGTTATTAGAAAACCGTTATAAGTTAATAGGGGTTACTGAATCATGGTTGACTGATATAGTTGATGATAATCTTTTACTACATGGTACCCCATATAATATTATCAGAACTGATAGGGCCAATGGTAGGGGTGGAGGAACTTGCTTATTTATATCAAATAAAATACCATTTATTAAAATAGAAATCCCCCAAACTTTATCAGAGATATCTTGTATAGATTTATTAACCCCAGATGAAAAAATTCGTATTATTTTGATTTATAGATCAATCACTAAAGAAACCATTAAGGATTTTAAATCTATCTTGCAAATCTTGTATGATATATCGGCTGTATCCTACCCACTTATCTTATTAGGAGACTTTAACCTACCCAATATCGATTGGGAAAATTATAGTACTCAAACCAAAAATACCAAAGAAACATTATTTTTAGAATATATTCAAAGTTTAGGACTAAAACAAAAAATTGATAAACCCACTAGAGGAGTAAATATATTAGACTTACTATTAACTAATGAGGATGAATTAATAAAGGCTATAACAATCAATCCGCCTATAAGTAAATCTGACCATAATACAATAGAATTTGAAATATCTTCTACTAACAATTACCAAGATAATAATTATACATATCCAAATTTTCGTAAAGCTAACTATGAAATAATTAATGCACATTTCTCAACAATAAACTGGAATCTAGTATTCACACAATGCTCTGATATAAATCAACTATATTTCACTTTCCAATCGATTATACATAATGTTATTTGTTCCTTTGTTCCCGAATCTAAAGTAAAATCTAACAATCTCAAAAAACCCGAACACATTGAAAAAATGACATTATATCTAAAAAATCTGTGGAAACAAAAATCCACGCCAGAGCTAACACGTAAAATCTCATATGTATCAAAAAGAATAGATTCTGAAACTAACAAATTTTTAAAAAATAGAGAAAAGCATAAAACACAAACTATCAGTCAAAAATTCTCATACATCTCTTCATTTCTTAAATCCAAAAACAGGAAAATAACTTCAATTTTGGATAAAAATAATCAATTAGTATACGCTGATAATAAAATAGCACAAATTCTAAGTACCCAATTTAGTTCTGTATTTAATAAAAATTCATTAGACAATGCAGATCTAAACTCTATAACAAATCAAAATACATGTCAATCCGTAATCATAAATGAACTTCAAATCTTTGATCTTCTTTCTAAGCTACCTGAAAAAACTAACTCTTCTTATGACTCAATACCATGTATATTCCTTAAAAAATGCGCTAAAAGTCTTTATTATCCTTTATATTATATTTTTTCTTATTCATTAATGACTTCAACACTTCCTGAAATATGGAAGCAAAGTATAATAATACCAATACCAAAAACATTAAAGATACCCAAAATAGAAGAATTTCGCCCAATTTCATTACTATGTTCAATCACAAAAGTAATTGAACAAATTATTGCAAACCATATATCAATTTATGTTGAACAAAATGGTATATTACCAGATTGTCAACATGGATTCAGACCAAACAAATCCGTCACTACCCAACTAATTGAGGTTCAAGATGATATATCATTTGCATTGGATAATAAAAATTTAATAAACATAGTTTATTTCGATCTAGCTAAAGCCTTTGATTCTATACCCCATGAACGTCTTTTAACAAAACTAAAAGTAATAGGAATTGAAAAATCACTCTTAAAATGGATCTCTAATTACTTACACAACAGAAAATCTGTTGTTAAAATAGGAAATGAATATTCTGAACAATTCTCTATTACTAGTGGAGTTCCGCAAGGATCTATCTTAGGCCCGCTCCTTTTTAATATATACTTATCGGACTTACCAACATTCTGTTACACTCCTGAAATAAAAATAAAATTATTTGCCGATGACATCAAAGCCTATCAAATTCTAAAAAAAACCGATTTATCTAACAATTCTTTACAATTATTTATTAATAAATTCATTCAATATTGTAACACCAATGGTCTCAACATATCATTAAATAAATGCTCAGTATTATATATAGGTAAATCAAACCCTAAATTACAATACTCAATAGGAAACCACAAAATATTCCAAATTAGTAATGAAGACAAGAATAGGGATCTCGGAATTTTCTTCACTTCTAAATTCAAGTTTAATAAACATATTCAAACAATATCTCTAAGGGCCAATAGAAACTGCTATGCATTAATTAAATCTCTAAAATCACAAGATCCTAAAATTCTTATAGAAGCATTTAATATATACGTAAGGTCAATTATAGAATTTGGGTCACCGGTTTGGAATTCTTTAACTAAGAAAAACATTAAATTAATAGAAAACATACAAAAACGATATTTAAGATTTGTTTACAAAAGAATCACAAAGGTAAAAATAGAAGATATTCCACCATACAAAACACTTTTACAACATTTCAAAGTAGAATCCCTTGAAAGTCGAAGACTTAAAGCTGATTTAAAGCTATTTCATCAAAATATATTTGGGAAAATTAAAATTAACCATAATAATTCCTATATCATAAAACAAACAAAAACTAGGGGCGAAAAATATAAAATACAACCAACACGTTGTTCAACCATGATTCGGTACAACTCCTTTTTTGTTCGAACTGCTAGAATTTATTCACTAATTCCTATAGAAATTAAAAAAAATACACCCAAAATGTTTTCTAAACTTCTTGAACAGTTGGATATTTCCAATATCTTAAATGACAAATGAGATAATTTTATTTGCTAAGCTGCTTTGATTTTTATTTTAAGGACATTTTTTATTAGCATTTTTATTTTTCGTAATTTCACTTTAAATTGTTTTATTTTTGACTGTCACACCCTAGTGGTGTAAATAAATAAATAAATAAATAAATAAAGAAAATTTTGACTTAATTCCTCTCTCTCTCTCATTATGTGATACAATTTATTTTTTATTCAAACCTTTCAATTTGTTCCGGTGAACGGTAAAGGATCCCGCAAATTGTAATAATTTGTAAAAAGTTTGCTGGAAGTAACTGGCAAATAAAAAAGCGGGGATTGTGTGAGGGGAGGGGGGGGAGGGGAATCATTACTTTGCCGCCAGTCCCCATTCTTCCCAAAACTAAATGAGAGAGAGGGAGGAAGTTTTTGCTTTGTTAATTTTACTTTTCAATTAGTTAAACGAGAATATTTTGGTTGGCCCATTACATACAAAAACTTCTGTTCTTGCTTATAAATCGGCAATTGCTGAGGCTATAGCTAATGTTTGGGAATTTAAAAAATTAAAAAAAATTTATTTTTTAAAAAGGGAGGTAAAGTAGAATGTGGAGGGAAAATATTGGAGGAATTAAAAGGAAATTATGTATTACCTACTTTAATTAGCGGATTGAAACATAATTCTGATTTGGTTTTGAAAGAAACTTTTGCACCTATTTGCTATATTTTAAAGTAAATTTTTTTGAACCTAATTATTTTGAAGAAAAAGGGTTTTACCGAACCTCACATTTTAAAATACTCGGAGCTTAATAATGAAGGATATTTTAATTATGGGTATCGCTTAAACAGCTCTTCCACCTATTAGCTAACCAAATTTTAGAAATATTTATTTTAGGTTAAGTGTTAAAAAAAGGAAAGAGAATATCACCCCCATTTACTCAATCTTTTTTCTAATAACCAAAATTCATATAATTTTCTTTTTTTTTTAGAGTAGATAGCTTTGAAGAAGCAATTTCAGTTAATAATGAAACTAGACAAGGGCTTTCTTCTTCATTATTTACACAAAATGTTGAACGTTTATTTAAATGGATTGGGTAGATTTAGAGGGGGAATAAATAGAAATTTTAAATAAATTTAAAAGACCATTTGGAAGTGATTGTGGAATTGTAAATGTAAATATTGGTACGAGTGGAGCGGAAATTGGGGGTGCTTTTGGGGGAGAAAAGGAAACTGGGGGAGGGTAGGGGTAGAAAATTTAAATTTTTAAAATTTTTATTTTTTAGAAGAGAAAGTGGTTCTGATGCTTGGAAAGTAAATTTAAATACATAAATTATTTTTTAAAATTAAAATTATTTTTAAGAATTATATGCGTAGATCTACTTGCACAATTAATTTTGGAAAGGATTTACCTTTGGCTCAGGTTAAAATTTTAAAATAATTAAAAAAATTTTTTTCTAATTTTTAGGGTGTGAAATTTGAATAAATTGTGATGGAAAAAATTGATTAGTTTAAAAATATCATATTTTAATTAGTAACAAAAAAGTGTCAAATTTTATAAATAATTTAATGTTTAATTAATTAAAATAAAATAAAAAAATAAATTTAAAATAAAAATAATTAAAAAGGAATATTTTAAATTAATTGAATTATTTGTATTTAAAATTTCTCCTTTTTTATTTTCTTCTTCATATTCTTTTGAATTTTCGTCATCGTCATCTTCTTCTTCACTTTTACTATTTTGTTCTTCCAATTCTTGTCCATCTGGCCAGATTTTGAAATTGCAAAAATCAGAAGAATAACAAGAACAGACCTTTTTATTTTAATTTAATTTTGATTTCGTCAAAAAAAAATAAAAATTTTAAAGGGGGGGGGGGGGTTTAGTAAATTTTTACTACACAAACCAAGGTTTTATTCCTAATTTTTTTACTAATACCATATTTTCTCAAATAATTCCCCATCCCATGTATGGGTTGAAATATTAATTCCCCGGGGGAATTAATCGAAAAATACGGTAATTCCCCCTAAACATACTAAATTCTTTTCGTTTTCCCTCACTCGCTAAATTATTTGTCAAAAATCCCAAAAATATTAAAAATCGAGATAGATTTTTTCTCGTCTTTTTTTTTCAAAAATTATTTTTAATTTAACTATTTACTAAAATTTAACTATTCTCTTTCTTTTAAATAATTTACTTTAACATTAGCTCCAGTTTTTGATTTTTTCTCCACACATTCCCCTTCACCTAAATTAGCATTTGTTGAGCAAGCATAATGAAGTCCAGATTTTGGGTGATCTTTTAAAATAAATATAAATTATTTTTAATTAAATTAATTACCAAGCATTAGACAAGAGGAGATTTTTGTTGGCACTTCACAAACGCCGTGCTTTAAATTTAAATAAAGTAAAGCAGCTGGGCTGTAGCTATTTTTTCTTATATGCTTTATAATAATTTTAATTAAGATGTGGGGAATACAAAATAATTATTCTTTGTGTTGCAAAATTTGTGGTGCAGTCTTTACCTTCACGTTTAATAATTAGGGTTACCATAACTGATTTTTGATATAAAATGAAAATTTTTAGTTAAAAATTGCAGATTTTAAAAAAACGAAGTGCGAGCTCTGGTTTCCAAATACAATAGAAACTCTCTCTAAATCCTTCCGGATCCAACTTAACCGACGATGAGGGAAAGCGACATGCTTTCCCCGTCCTTCCCTTTCCCTCCCGCTTACATAAAAAAAATTTCCAGAGAATTTTCTTTTTCGGTTAATTAAAATAAAAATACCTGACAAGGGACTTTCTGAAAATAAAAGAAAAAATTATTAAATTTTAAATTTAAAAATTTACTGGTGAACTTTGTGTGCATTTACATTTGAGGGAATTTGAGTAATTTAAAAAAGAAATAAAAATTGTGAAAATAAATTTTGAAGAAATTGAAATTAACATTCTTTTTATTTTTTTACATTTTCATTATTCCTTTAAAAACGTACTAAAATAATTGTAGAAAAATGGAAGAAATTATTTTAAAAGGACCACACAGAAATATTAAATAAATAAATATTTAGTAGTACTTTTTTTCTTTAAATTTTTTTGTCCGAAAGGTTTGGTTGATCGTTGAAGAAGGAAAAAAACAATTAAATTTTTAGTAAAAATTTTTAAATTATTTTTAAAAGATAATATGTATTCCCGGTCATTTTTATGTCAAATCTCATTCTCAGTTTCTTAAGATTACTTTTTAAAAATGAGACAATAATTAATTAAGTAGGGACATAATACAAAAAAAAAAGAATTCTTAAAAGTGATCTGTTAAAAATTTCCTCAAAACAAAATAATTTTAAATAAATTAATTAAAAACATTTGCCTATTTAAAAATTAATAGAAAGCAAATAAAAAAAATTAAATTTTTATTTAAGACAAAAATACAATTTTTTTTATTTTTTTTCTAGACAATTGAAATTTAAAAATTAAAAAGAAAATTTCTTTTTAAATTTGTTTGGTTGTCCTTGGATCTGTATATTGTATATTTATTTCCTTCAATTTCGTTTTTATTACCACTAAAACCACAAACACTTAAATAGAGAAAAGAAGAATTGAATGGATTAAATAAAAAGACTTTACTGCCTTTCCCTCCTTCTACCAAAATATATTTACGCCAATTCCTTCCCCTACCAACTCGCGCAGTATAGCATTAATTTAATAATAAGAGTAAATGAAAGGAAAATAGAAGGAAGGAGGAGGAAATAAGGGCAAGCATTGGGGAATTAAATGAAAAAAAAGAAAATATATATAAAAGCTTGAGAGGTGTTATAAGCTGATAAAAGGGGGATATATTTGGGCGCAAAAAAGGAGAAGGAGACAAGATTAGGTATTTAGTTTAGAATTCATTTAAGTTCAAAAGTTTGGTTATGGAGCAGCCTTGTCACGCAAACAATGTTATAGACATTCCTGACTGAGTTAATATTAGAATCATGCCAATGTAAAGCATATATGTAGCTATTTAATTCCTAAGGCTGTGCAGTAGGCGGCGTGGTGTAATGGATAAGACATCAGTCCGGTCTACTGAAGATGCTGGTCCACTCCCAGCAGCCGAATACCCTTTGTACCAGCTGAAGGAGAGAAATATGTAGCTATAGCCCAAATGCTTTACTCCAAAATTCTCTAAATTCCATATTAGATGCAGGAAGAACTCTTTTTTTATTAAAAGATATCAATCAAAAGAGGAATAACCTTTTTTTATAATAAATTAGAAAGGATCTCTCATTTAGTTGAAAAATAATAAATTACATGCAAAAAATTTGAATGATTAAATAAATGTAACTTTTCTAACGCCAAACAACTTAACGTCTAAACTTCTTTTTTAATTTTTAGAGGTGTTTGCGCGACTTGTTTATAATAAATTATTTTATGTTAGAAGAAAAAACATACATATTATTTTAGTAGAAAAGGTAAAAGTTATTATAACGGTTTGGAAAAGCGTAAAAGAGAAAAAGAATTAATTTTTTCTTTAAAAAGTTTTTTTAATCCTTAAAATCCTTTAAAAATTAGTAGATTGACGTTATGTCGCCCCCATAAAATAATCATAAGATATTTACTTTGAGAAATGAAATTTTGCTAAAATATTTAGAGGAAATTAATGTTTAAAAATACTCTCCAAAAAATTAAATTTTCTAAAATTCTGTAATTTTCAAAGGTAAAAAAGAATTCTTGTTAGAGATATTCAATTTAAGTATTTTTAAAAATAAGAGAATTAACTGTTATTTTTAAAATTGTTAAAAAAGTCAAAAAACTGCTTAAAAGTACTTTTAAAAACCATAAAGTGCCAACAATTTTTGCCTTTTTTGGACACTTTGTTTGCAAAAATAACTAAAAGAATGACCCAAAAACGCCCATGGGAATAAAAATAGAAAGTCCAAAACATAAAAATATTGAAGAGAAAATTGGAAATTTTTGTTTAAAGAGGAAATGAGGGGGGGATTTTGTGAGGAGAGAGGGAAGCTCTACATACAGATTTGTGTTAATCCTTCCCTAAATTATTATCCTTACTGACGATTATTTATTTATTCAATACAAAATGATGATACGCGCAAAAGAAAGTCCAAAAAAATATTTAAAAAATTTGAAATTAAAGAATTTAGGTTCTAAATATGTACATATGGATAATTGATTTAAATAATGTTAAAAATTAAATTTATTTCGATTTGACTAAAAAATAAATTTAAATATTTTTTGAAATTATTTTATATGAGGAAAAAAAATTTTTTTAAAAGTTATTGGACAAACAAAGTTTCTTTAACCTGTTTAATAACAAAAATATCAAAATTAATTTAATTTCCAAAGAAAAGTTTTAAAAGGGAACAATTTAATTAAAAATTATTTTGGGAAATAATTTTTAATTTTTCTACTAAAAGTTTTTAATTAAAAATAAAAAAAAAATTAATTTTAAAAATTTTTGCAATCTTAAATTTTAAAAATAAAAAAAAACAAAAAGAAAAAGTCTAGACTTAAAAAAAGTCCAGATTTATTTAAAGGAACAAATGTTTAAAAGTGAGAAAAATGTAATAAATATTTCCTCAGGAAAATAAACGTTTCAAGGTATTTATTAAAATCAGCCTAAAATTTTGTTATTTTGAGAATTTTGGAAGGAATGAAGCCAAATTTCTTCCAATTTTTAGCACCGCAGGCGCTAAAAATTTTGAGAAAAAAAAATAAAATATAAAAAGTGAATGAAAGGGAGGTCAGAAAACGCCAAGAAAATTTTTTGTACCTCACAGGTTCCAACTCAGATTTTAAGGTCAGGATTTTCAAAATTATCGGAAGAACTCAAATAGAAACTTTTTGTTTATACAAAAAGAATATTTTGAGATAAACATAAAGTTTTTTTAAATAATCAAAAATTTATGGAAATATATTTATTGACGGAAAACTTAAAAACTTTCAACAATTTATTTTTTAAAGATCCAAAAAAAAAACAAAAATTCTTTTTTTAATAATTTAAGAAAAACCGCCATCATTTCCAGACGAATGTGAACGTATTTTCTGTTCCAAACATTTTGCAAGATATTCAGTAGCATCTGCCATTCGATTAACACAATTAACCATACAATTTTCTAACTAAAAAATTAAAAGTTATGAGAGGGAATAAAGCAAAAAGAAATTTTTAAAAAATCAAAGAATATTTTTAGCAAATAATTAAAAAAATTAAGCAAAAAAGATCAAGGCTCCTTTAAATAGGAATTCGTGGCAAACAACTTTGAAATTTAAATAAATTTAAAAAGAAATTTGTGCTATACAAAATTTAATGGATGGAAAATGGAGTAGAACAATTATAAAATAAGCCCACATCGAATCCTATCCTTGAGTTAAATATAAAATACCCTTTATATTCCTCAAACCTTTTCAAAAATTAATAGGGCCACCAAAAGGTATTTTCAAAAATTATTTCAAAATCACCAAACCTTTGCATCCATTCTATTTGGCGGCCTCGCA